AAAAAAAAAAAAAAAAAAAAAAAAAAAAAGAAGGCTGGGGATGTAGCCTACCCAATGCAAAGGCCCTGAATTCAATCCCAATACAAAAAAAAAGTTTCATCTATTACAAGTCTCAGAAATTAAATTCTATTTCCTCCTGGTTTAATTATTTACAGAGTTTGGGTGTATGATGTATTTTGTAAGGATCCAAATTAATTTCTGCATACTCATAATCTATTTAATAGTCACTGTCATATGTAGGGAGAATTTGGTCTCTTTTTGAGAAAGTGATGCCTCTACCCAATACACAAAGTTCTTAGATACACTGCAGCTTCCTTCAGTGTTTTAGTTTTATCCAAAACCCACAATGCTTCTTTCATTCACATTTTGAATGTTTTTATCTGCAATACTCTGTATCCATCCACCTGCCCTTTGGAGTCACTGTCCAGTTCTGCAGAAAATCTACACACATCATGTTTCCTCTGAACTCTGGCTTTATGGTTCCCATCTTAAACACACACACACACACAAATCAACACACCCCTAAGACCCTCCCATACTTGATTTAAATATCTGATCATTGTTCTTATCACCATTTCTTACTCTCCAGGTTCTGGGTTCCTTAAACTCCTTGTTCTCCTTCAATAACCTTGGCTTCTACTATATTCAGGCCCATAGTCATGCTCAGAGACAGGACAGATCACTGCAGTCCCGTCGGTTTTAATTCCCACCCTCCCACATTCCAACATCGACCTCAGCTCACTCTCCACTCCTTCAGTACTGGCAGGCTACGACCCACCCAGGCTGTACTCTTTTCCGTCATCTGCTGCCATGTCTCTCTCTTCTCCAGCCAAGGTCCCACTACTGCTTTCCCTTCTTCCACGTCTTCATCCTGCCTATTCCAAACTACAGTACATCCCTGCAAAGCTGAATTTCAGGGTTCTCGGCCTCAGTCATTCATGAATTTTTCCTTAGAACTTTACTAACAATTGTTCATGGAAACTCTGGTAATTTATCAGAAACCACAAATACTGTATCATCTGCAGCTGCTTTTTTTGGTGGGAGGTTTGCAGGTAGCCAACCTAAAAGTATTATTCAGTTCTCCTTGCTAGATTTGATGTTGCCCATCTCTGGCAGATGCACCAGCATTCCCACATAACAGGTTGCTGTACTGCATATAGCTCTCTTGAGTGTTCTTCTTAAAGACCTAAGATCCCTGAGATGCCATCAAAATGCCCTGCACCTTCTACAGCTTCTGACAATGAACCTAAGTGCCAGAAGAAGTGTAACACTCCAAGAAAAGGCTGAACTACTGTACAGGTTTTAAATTAAATTATTTCAGTATTGTATACAGCATTTTATTAAATTAAATTACATAACTGCAGGAGACATAGCATATTTAAAAATTAAACTTTTAAGCCGGGGATGGTGGTGCACGCCTGTAATCCCAGTACTGGGGAGGCTGAGCGGGAGGATCGCTGTGAGTTCAAGACCAGCCTGGGCTACATAGTGAGTTCCTGTTCAGTCTTAACTACATAGTGAGACCCTGTCTCAAAACTTGCCCCCCCAAATTACAACTTTAAAAATAAGCATTTATAGGCAATTTTATGATCATATCTAAAATTCATGGTTTTTCACAACCCAGATGCTCTAGGAACGTTACCCCCATGAATTTCGGGGGCCACGGCACCCCTATCCTTCCGCAATCTTTCTCAAGCAGCTCCCATGATCCAATGGCACCATCATGAATTACACCTACCAAGGCCACAAGTCACCCTCCCTGCTCCCATTCTATCAAGTCTGAAGATCGATCCTTAGCCCTCACTTTATCTCAGCGAACATGGTGCTTATTCCTTTCTCCTCCAAATATATTCTTTACTATCTTAACTCACTTGTCTTGCTGACTTCGTCTCTCCAGTTTCTGAACTCTGTTCCTACCCAAAACCCTCTCCTGTACTCAAGATTCCTCTTTCCAGATGCCTATCCAGCATCTCCTCATTCTGGCAAACTTAACATATCTACAACCACTCTAAAACATTTCTCCTAATGAACCTCTCCATCTTGCTTATAGGAACTGTAGCGTGCAAACCTGACCTGGTTCTTCCGCTTATTTCACACTCCATGATGGATCCACAGCAAATTCACCTCTGACCATTCCTCATCTTCTGTGTTACGACTCACATCTGAGCTATCATGATCTCTCATTTACTTTATGCCAACAGTGTCCTTACTACCCAGTGCTACCCTTAAACCCCAGGTCTTCTCAACTTCTCTGCTTCCCATCTTGCTCAGAGAGGAGCCCTCATGATAGTCTTGAGGTCCCCCACCACTCCCTCTGCCACCTCTGGTGGTTCCCTGAACACAACAAGCAGATGGCCACACTTCAGAGCCTTTGCCTGGGCTTTTACCTCCACCTGAATGACCAGATGGTTGTCCTCATCTGTCTGGTCTCCCCTTGGATGCCACCTTCTCAGTGAGGCCTAACTTTGAGAAACAGGCTTACAATAACACCTTCCTCCTTATTTTGCTCCTCAGCACTCACCAACCAGTTACTTTTATGACTCTCTCGCTATTGCTCAACCCTGAATTTCTTTCATGACTACTTTAGTCTTCTCTCCCTCCCTCCCTCCCTCCTTCTCTCCTCCCTCTTCCTCTCCCTCTCTCTCTGTACCAAGGATTGAACTCAGGACCTTGTGTTTGCCAGGCAGGCACTGTGCCACTGAGCTATATCCCAGGTTTATCTGCCCCTTTTCTAAAAATGAAAGAGAAGAACAAGGCCTGAGACACAGCACATGCTCAATAAATTTTTGTTACATGAATGCTAATTTTGGAAATAACAATGTATTTTACTTAATCTACTTATGAAGTACTCATTTTATATCTTTCAAAAAACATTGTGAGACAGACATGTTGGTGCACACCTGTAATCTCAGAACTGTAGGACGCTGAAGCAGGAGAATCACAAGTTTGAGCTCAGCCTGGGCAAATCAGAGATTTAATGAGATCTTGTCTCAAAATACAGAGGTGGCCAGGGATTTATAGCTCAGTTGTGCTGCTGCCTGCCTCGCAAGCACAAGGTCCTGAGTTTCATTCCTGGTACAAAAAAAAAAAGGAGGAAGGGGGATATAACTTAATGCAAAAGCCCTGGGGGTTTAATCCTCAGTATTGCAAAAATACATGAATGAATAGAAAATTGTGTTTTAAGTCTTAGAGATCTTATACATTTTTGGGTAGGATTATTCGATTGTTTATGAGTTCTCTCATAAACATCATTGGATATTCCAATTGGCTGTTATTAGTAAAAGACAAATACTTAAAAGTTTGTAGACATATGAGGCCAATTTAATAACTCTATAGTTCTGCTTTTCAGTGCTTGCTTTGTACTAAGGACTTCAGTCCTAAGCTGGGGATTTAGATCAGCGGTTCCAGAACCTCCTTTGCAAGCGCAGGGACCTGAGTTTGATTCCTGGTGCCAAAAAAAGAACTTCAGTCCTTTGCTTTGTCTTGATATGAAATAATGCCACCCCATTTTATTTTTATTTTCCAGTATGTCTATTTTTTTCAGATGCCTGTTTAATTTTACTACAGAAATTCCAGAATAAATTATTGTTACCACTTGATATAAAACCAAGCTTAATTGTGAATTGTGATGTTTGCCATTGATTTATAAAAGACACAAGATTTTTTTTCTTCAGATTTTATCATGTTAAGGAAACAGTTTTTCACAGGAATGTTTTAAAATGCATTTTTTATTAGTGACTGGTGTTGAATTATCTAATATTACTTTTAGAACACCTCTAAGATAACTTCATAGTCTTTCTCATTTAACTTCCTACTAAATTATAAAGTTTTCCTGTATATAAAATTCTTGTTATGAATCATATTTAATCACAGTGAGTTATTATTTTTGAATATCATTCACAGTATTGTTAGATTTTTCTAATTTTAGTCACGTTAATATATGCTTTTATTTCATTTTTATTTTTTATGAGATTCTGGAAATCCTGGGTTGAATTTTCTTTTGACAAGTAATATTTCCAACCTGTCATGTGCAAGTACAAGATCCCAATGATGAATGTAACTGTACTGTATACCTAAATGTACTAATAAACTCAATGAAAAAATTATTTAAAAAATAGTATTTCCATATTTTGCATAATTTTTTCTTAAATAGCTTTACCTAATATATCAGTAAGTAATTTAGGACCAGGGACCATCTGAAAAGACAGCTTTCAATTTTTGCATGAGTCATCACTTGGCTCTGACAGCCACGGTGCCCTTAGAACGTGAAGTGATAACAAGCACCCAGGTGCAGCACGCGTACCACAGGTTTGCCACCACTATGCTTAGGTTAATTTTGAGAACGCGTTTTGTCTAGCTTCATGTACAAATAATGTTTTTATTCCGTCTAGGTGAAATATTTTTCTAGACCTTCACTTATTTTGTGTTTTTTCCTCCTACATGCCAATTAAATATGCCAAGTAAATACTTTTTACACTTTGCTTTTCAAATTCAGTGCTTTCCTATTTGTCTGTTCTTGACTCTGGTTTTCTTCTTGAGTGGTTCTGCCCATACCTGCTTCCAGGACGAGTGAATAAGAAGTAGTAGGAACCTCAGCTAAAGGTAGAGACCAACGGGGTGCTGGGGCACAAGAGGTGTTAAGGCCTGACACCAGACTCAGGTTAGGGCCCCCGTAACAGTGCTTTTTTTGGTACCAGGGATCGAATTTGGGTCCTTGTGCTTGCAAGGCAGGCAGCACCGCGAGTGAGCTAAATCCCCGGCCCCTGTAATAGTTCTTATTTGAGGCCCCATCTAACACTTGAACACTTACTGCTTAGACACATGTGCTAAGTTTCAGAGAGGCCTAACTAGCCTCTATCTTAAGCTGCTGTGAGATAAAGGCAAATTATAGATTTTTATTATTATCAAATAATATCACAAGACTCTTTCAGGATTCATAAACAGAGACTAAACTTGGTTTACCAAGAGAAAGGGTTGTTCACTTTTAAACTGTCTACAGAATATTTGCTGATCATATACTGCTAACGATTATATCCAGTGCCTCCCAAACTACTCACTAGCCCCATCTTCCCCTAGAGCTCTAGGCTCAATCCTAATGATTTCTTGATGTTTTCTTTTTCACTCCCTCAAACCTGGTGCATTCTCATAGGCCTGTTGTCCACATGGGCTCAGTAGGACACCTCTGGCATGAAGGTTCCCAGCCAAGAATCTACATCATCTCTCCCTGTGCCCTAAGCAGTTTCCCAATCAGTCTCCTACTCTTCCTCCACTCTATCCCAGTGATCATAGTTCTAGTTCAGGCCCTGACAGTTTTCATTTGAACCACTGAAACCATCTACTTTCAGAGAGCTGTCAGAATAATCTTTCTCATGCTTCAAAGCTTTAATAGCCCCTTGTCTCTTTTATAATGAGGAACATTCTCCAAATAGGGCATTTGAGCCTTCTATATCTGGTCCTCCACACTTGGCCTATCTAACTTTGTGCTATCGCTCTGGCTTGTCTGTAAAGATCTAGCAATTGGCAAAATGCCTCTAATTCAACATTCACACAAAGCCCTTTCCTCTTCTCCCGCCCGCCCTGCCTAGAAAACCCATCAGTTTCTTTCTGGGCTGGACCTCCAGTTTCCTGAGAGAAACCGAAATTGTATTAATCCAGGTTTATCTGTTACTTACAGAATATGAAGTTGAGTCAGTCATAGACTAATCTGTCTCTTCAATCTAAATCTGTAAAGTGTGCCTATTTCCAAACTATTTAAAACATTTTGCAAACATATTCAAGGTCATGTCGAGAAACGTTTTCCACTGGACATTTGTAGGCTGGTTCCTTGGGAATAAATAAAGTATGCCTATAGCCTTAGTGATTGATTCATTAATGAAGGTACTGATTCTGTTCAGCAAGACAGACATAATGTGTGAAGTTCTACATTAAAGATATAAACAAGGGGCTGGGATTTAGCTCAGAGGTGCAGCACTTGCCTTGCAAGCGCCAAGCCCTGAGTTTGATCCCTAGTGTGGGGGTGAGGGGGTATAAGCGTATCAATAAGAGCAGGAGTGGCGGGGGTGACTGCAGCTGAAGGCAGGCAGTGAGACAGTGACTGCACAGACGGAAGGACGAGCAGCTAAGCAATGGTGATGGGGAGGGACAACACAAATACTGCTTCAAGGATCCAAGAGTTGTACAAGGGACAGAGAGGTGATACTGCTGATCTGAAGCAGCTGCCAGGGACCCGTCCACCCCAACAGGCAGCCCCACTCACCACCTGAGTGACTTCGGAGGATAGAGACACAACGCCACTGCTCCACATTGGCAAGCTTACCACTGGATCCAAACACAGTGCTGGGTCCAATATACCTGCGTAAAAGAGGAGTCAGAAAGGCACTCATGGTGTGCTTCAGGTGTTATACAGAGATGCTCCCTGCAGCATAGCTTATCATGGCACACAGAACAATGGAACAACAGACAATGGTGCAAAGTATTAGACTGCTGTACACAAAAAGCTGATTAGATATTTTGCCATCCACGTATTTAATGAGATACTGCAGCGACATTACAAATCCTGCACAGGAAAATGTTCATAGCATGTGGAAGAAGAAGGCCACAGAACATCACCTATAGTATGATACCAACTTATGCAAAGGAGAAAATACATGTAACATGGATATCAAAGCAGAGGGATATACACCAAAGTAGTGACCCTGGCTTTGTTTAGGTATTGGGATTTTGAAACATTTTTTCTTTTATAATTTTTTATTTTCAAAATTGTTTACTAAATATATCATTTATATTTGCTATTTAAAATTGAAAAATCAACAGGTTCCCCCTCCGCCCCGGTACTGGGGATTGAACTTGGGACCCTGTGCTTGCAAGGTAGGCGGGAGAACCACCAAGCTAAATCCCCGGCCCCATCAAAAGGTTTTTTTTGAGGCAAGGCTCTCACTACTTCTCCCAGCATGTCTTGAACTCTTCAGCTTAAGAGGCTTCTGTTTGTATTTCCTGAGTAACTAGGACTATAGGCATGTGCCACCATGCCCGGCTGAAAAATCTATAGCATTTTAAAGTACCCACATAGTGAACTAAGTGGACCTGCTTTAACCCCTGAGAAATCAAGAAAGCTGAAGGTACTCCTTCAAGATGAGCTAGTATATGAAGATGGATACACCATGCTTACCTCTCTAAACAACTTATGCTCTTGTAAAACTTTGTAGCAACCCACATAAAGAGCTCATGAAACAACTGACTGGGCCTAAGGAGATGACAGTGTCTAAAGCCAAGGCCTTAGGGCCATTCTGGCTGAACAACGATGCTGGATCTGGTGCCCTAGCCTGACTAGCTCAGAGTTACCTGGAGAGTTTACTGTGGGGCAAAGGGCTATCCTGAAAAACACTTTGCTTAGGGATAAAGAAAAATATAGTGTTCTAGGTGATGGTTAGCTCATTTGGGTTGCACAGCAGGGGCTGCCACAGGCTGAGGCTGCTACAGAATGGGGTAAGTGGCAAAGAACATGGATTCTGGATCCCATCCCTAAACCCATGAAAGCACCTCGACTTTTAGCCAGTTTGTACTTGGGAATGCTATGTACAGTTTCATTTGAAGAACAAAACAAATGAAACTACCAGGTCAACACCAGAAGAGATTAAACCTTTTTTTGAGGGGAAAGAAGCCCAGTATCACTACAAAGGGCTAGGTTAGCAGGCAGGTTAGTGGCCTCCCAATTTCCTGGTCAGGTCTCATCTCCTCCTGACTCAGGTGCACTTCCTGTTACTCATGAAACCAGAGCTCTAGGGACTTCAGCACCAGGGTAGGAAATGTGACTGTGATAAAGACCAGCAAAGAAGCTTCTAAAAGTTAAATGTTAAGAAAGGAAAATGATGCTTACGTAGCCCGCTTCCACACCATAATCAGTTTGTCATCTCCCCCAGAAGCTAAATACATCCCACTGTTTGACCACCGCACACAGTTCACACATGCTGGGAAGAAAAAAAAAATAGGGTGATGAAATCCAATAGTTATGCCCATTTGCTTATGAACAGTCTGGCAAGATGTAAAGGATTTATAAAATCTAATCTACCTAATCAACTTAAGGCATCTAATGTGACAGCCCCAGAGAAACAATTCAGTCAAAGCACTAACCTATTTGTGCTATAACAAATTATCAGAACAGCCTGGAGGGTAAAAATATGCATAATTTTCTGAGAATTGTTAGTGTTGGATGAAACAGACAACAGGAGGCTTATTTTCAGGAAAAGTGGTAAATCTCATTATTTCAAAAGGGCTGTCTATTGACGAGATGTATTTCTGAGAAGGCATTATTCTTAAGATGAAAGCATGTGGTAAGAAGGCTAAGATGCCTTTTCTAAAACTTTCAGGGGAATAGCTTGGTAGAATATAAAACTCTGACTCAATCCCACTTGTCAGAGCTAGTCCTTTTAAATTTGTATTTTCCAAATTGTCAGCACTGCAATTTGATTGATTTTGCACTTGAAAACTAAGACCAGCAGAAATCCCCAAGGCATCTGCTAAGTCAGAGCCTCTAAGGGCACATGTAACTCAGCCTTTGGGAGACATTCAATATGATGGACACCAACAAAGTCATGGCCAGGTACGCCCCAGTTGTTTCAGGTATGTTGGGAAAACAAGAACACACAGAGCAGAGAAAGGGACTAACATCTAAAGGCCAATAACTGTTAATGGAACACCTCAAGGGTGGGGCAGTAGGCACTATGCAAGAAAAGAAACTGTGACAGCATCCAACAGCCCAAAGAGTCCTGGGAGAGAGCCTTGGAATGACACAGTGCCAAGCTGAGACATTTCATTGTCTTTTACACACCCTTCCCCAAAACCCTACTGTGTCCAGGTTGCTGGCCCCAAAGCCCCATGGAATCAGGCAGTAACGACTCATGAGCAGGAAATCACCAGAGGTACCTGCAGACTGTCCAAAGATGGTTCTGTGGGTGGGCCGAGTCTTCTGCCGAGTAACTCACCCAGGTGTGCAGCCAACATCTGTGCCTTCAGACAGCAGGCCGAGGGGAGTTACCGCCGCACGGGGACTTATCTTTCTAATTACAAACACATGTGCTAACCTTGGGCACTCTGCCAACACGTAAAGCCTGCAAAGGGCCACTCTGTAATACCTAAGTGATTGTCCATCTGGCAAAGCATCTTGGGAATATTTTCATCCTTCTCATCATCCTCCTGGAGGACTGGAGACATATTCCAGATCACAACCTTCCCAGAATCCTGCCCTGGAACAAAGAAGCAGAAATAGCTCAATGTGCAATGAGTAAAAATTTGACTCTGATGTGTAACAGTAACTATGGGAAGTCCTCATGTCCATAAATCATCACAGGCTAGATCTAAGGAGATTGAACTTGAATTACTAATGCAGATTACAGAAAAGGTGAAGGAAAACAGGTAAACATGGGGAACTAAAAGAATGGATTTAGTAGTAGCTAATGTCCACTTGACTTTATGAAAAGGACTCTGGACTAGAAATTAGGAGAGAACTGAGCTCTTGTCTGGCCTCTAATCTACCAGAGGCCCTTAGAAGGTCCTTGTTATGCCTTATACCTGGATGTCCCTTCAAAGCCTCATGTGGACATATGTGGGGCTTTTCAGAGGGGGCTGGATCTAGGGTGTGTGATACAAGGATCAAGAATGTGATGCCGGGATTGATTCACGATGCGATGCCAGGATTAAGGCCGCCCTACCCTGGGTATAAGTACTAACCACCCTAAGGGAGGGTATCCTGGGTGGAATGTAAGGGACAAAGGATCACTGCTTGACACTTGTCACTTGCTGCTTTTGCTGTCTTCTTTATTTATCCTCCATGACCTCTCTTCCATGCTGCTCGACCCAAGTCTGCTGATTATGGACTGAAAACTCAAAACTGTGAACGGAGATAAACCTTCCCTTGTTTAACCTGAGGTGTTGTGTATTTTGTCTCACCGACAAGTAAAGTAACTAAGCTGGGGATTTAGCTTAGCCGTGCTGTGCCTGCCTGGCAAGCATAAGGTCCTGAGTTCTATTCCTGGTACCAAAACAAAAAGTAACTAAAACAGAATTTATCTGTGCCTTAAACCCAGCCTCTTGATAAACTAAACTTGTATACCAGGATTCTTTCAGACCTCTGAATATACACCCCAGAAAGCAAGAAAAAAAGACATAGTCCTTACCAGGGTTCCCCTTCCCTTTAGGGTGCTGCCTGCCTCAACAAAGAAAAAAGGGCTTGGGCCGGGGATTAGCTCAGTGGCACCGCCATCTGCCCCACAAGCACAAGGACCTGAGTTCGATCCCTGATACCAAAAAACAAAAACAAAAACAAACAAAAAAAGGGCTCATGGGCTGGGGATTTAGCTCAGTGGTTCTGCCACTTGCTTTGCAAGCAAAAGGTCCCAAGTTTGATGCGCAGTACAAAAAAGGGGAGGGGGGTGGTTCATTACTTAATCTGCCCTATGCAGTCACCTATGGATAGGACATCAACCAAAAGAGGGAATTTAAGATTCCTATGAGTATGAGCTGATGCAAGACTTTGTTAAAAAATGTATCTGCATTTTACTAATGATTTCTCTTTGTAAGCTATCCGACACTAATACCTAGTGAAAGTAATGAAAACAAATGTGTAGAAATGAACATGCCAAAGTGATGATGAAATGCTCAAAATCCTCTTACCCAGTATGGAAAAATGCATTTTAGCTATCTGTCCTTGTTCCATCCCAAGTAATGTAGAAGATCTACTTCGCCTGGGATAAAGAAGAAACACGCTGCTCCCCTCAGCTAAATTTAGCACTCTTAGTGAGGCTACTGGCTCTTAGTATAGCACAGGTGAGGTTGTAGGCTCCTTTCACAGCATACAAGGAAGAGAGAAAGGCCTTCCAGCCCACAGCATATCTTTCTTTAATTCCTGTCTGTTCCTAGCCTCTGGGCAGAGGCATTTGCTGCAAGCTGGCAGCAACAAACCTGGTTTACGCAGAACCCGGCCTGAGGATATACTCACAAAAGTACAATGAGTTGCTGCCCAGGAATGCAGGTCAGAGGGAGGCCCCACTGGTAGGGCATTGGGTCCACCGGAATGCTATTGCCTGTCACTACACATACAGTCTTGGTGTTCTGGCGTTAAAAATGGCTTTGTCTCTCCCAACATGGTCACGTTACAATACTGCAATGGATGCTGAATGAAACACTGACAAATACTATGGATCCTATTTTCATTTTGTCACCAACAGTATTCTTTTTAACTTTTTAGTGAGATAATGGATCTAATATTTACATGATGTAGTAATTAACAGCCTTCCTGCTTTTCAGACGAGAAAAACCCTGACAGAGTTCTTGCCTCTGGTGCTAGACTTCATCCAGAGAACCACGTGTCACTCTCCACACTCAATAACCCTCGCTATGGGGATGGAAATTTATTCTAATTTTAACTCAGTAAACAGTAATTAGAATAAGTCTGTATCAAAATATTTATAAAGCTGATACTATGACCAAAAACTTTTTAATTTTTGGTACCAGGGATTAAACTCAGGACTCCGTGCTTGTCAGGCAGGCGCTGTGTCACTAAGCTAAACCCCCAACCCTAAAACCTTTTTGATTTTAATCCCTTCAGATAACAGATTAGCCAGAGTTACACTGAAAAGCAGTAAATTTTCTCTTACTAACCATGGACAACCAAGAGGAGCAAAGCAAGGTGGCAGGACTCTGATGTTCTACCTTGCATATTTCACAAACATACCTTGTCCTCCAGTTGCGAACTTGGTCCCATCGGGATGAATATCAACTGAAAAAATTGGCTTGCCTGGAAATGAAGAACAACACATACATCTAACTTGGTTTTTAATCACTGAAGAAAAGCAACAGAATCAAAAGTTTAAAGCTCTGACTAGTCCAGTAACATCTCTAATTGCTGCACCTAGAACAAAATAACAGACTAAGGATAAACTGTCCATGAATAAGAGTGGAGCAATCTAATAGTTTCAATTAAAGTCTGAACTGCTGCCGGGCGTGGTGGCACACACCTGTATTCCCAGCACTTGGGAGGCTGAGGCAGGAGGATTGCTGTGAGTTTGAGACCAGCCTGGGCTACACAGTGAGTTCCAGGTTAGTCTCAAGTACATAGTGAGACCCTGTCTCAAAAAAAACTCCCCCAAAACAAAAAATAAAACAAAGTCTGAACTGCGGGAAGACTCTTCAAGGAACATTAGATAACTAGAAGTCTAACAGTAGGCAAAGGATTCTGTCACTGAGGACAGTGAGCCCACATGACTTCTGAGCATTCACCTGCCATTTTTTCATGCACATGTGTGTGTAAAGGCTGGCTGGCTTACAAAGAAGCTCTGAGTCACAGATGCTTAGTAAGAGGAGCACACAGCTACACCTGCAGACATCTCCCTGTCACATGGGTCTGCACTTGACTGGCAGCTGAGGCCAGAGGGACTCTCCTTTTCTGACAGGCTGTCTGAAGCCTGAGGACAGGGACTGTCACAGTTCAGAGCTCTCATCTCCCTTGTCAATCTTCTGCTTCCTAAAAGGCCTCCTGGATATTTGTGCTGCATCCAAGTCCGTAGAAAGTCTGCCTTTTTGGCATCTCCTCTGATGGAAATGTCACCACACACCAGTGACCGCTTGATATTAAAATAGATGTTCTGTTTCTGCAGGGAAAGGGCTGTGCCTTGTTCTTGAAGGCTACACAGGGCCTATTATGGGCCCAGGACTACACAAGCAGACCATGGACTGGACTGGTGAAAGTGCCATAAGAGCTTAAAACCAAGTAGACCATGGAAGGTCTCATTCCTATTGGTCTTTTGTTCATCTCCCTGATCTGCTTCCAGCCCAAGGGCATGAAAGCTACAAGTGGCATGTCGATTACTGTTAAGCTCATGCCTGCACTCTCAGCCTCTAGCGCAGTACCTGATGAGTAGCAGCTCAATATTTGTTCAGGGACAAATTAACACATGAGAAAGAATTATGCATCAGAAATTGCTGATACAGACAAGGAGCTGTTGCTAAACATCACTTAATTGAAAACGTTCTGCTTCTGTCATCTAAGACAAGGCAGCATGGACACTTGGGATAAAGGTCAACATCTGTAAAATTGTATGACAAGTGCAGGTAGAATGGGTTCAATCCTTCACATTGCAAAGGAAGACAGGAAAGAGGGAGGGGATTTCAAGCTGTGGGTCCAATTACTCTCTCTCTCACGCGTGTGCGCGAAGGTGGGGAGGACAGGATATCACTGTGTAGTTCAGACTGGCCTTGAACTTACTATGTACTGGCCTCAAATTTGCGGTGAACCTCCTGCCACAGGCTCCCAGTGCTGGGAATATAAGCATGTGCCCCCGTGTCGGGTTTGTGAGTCCAGTTTCAAGCCATGCAAATGATATTGCTCCAATAGATGTGATCAGCTATAAGGCCAATTGTGGCACCCAGCACTGAGATGTAAGTTGTGAATCCTGCCAGCACTAGCAGGCAGTGACAAATTATTACTACTATGAGTTGTGTGAAATTTAAAAAAGTATTGTAAAGATAGCAGAAGGTGAGACTTGGTCCCATCAGTACAGCTACCTGTATGGGTGTCTGCTGGGGAAGGTGCCATTGGCCGGGCCCTAGAGGTGCATTCCAGGAGATCCAGAGCCACGCTATGGTATATCCCATAAAGCACTGCCTTTTGAAGGCCAGAACTAATTCTCCCTGGCCCAGGACATATTCTTGAGCCTTTGATCAGCCCTTCAAACTCTGCAGGAGGCATAACCCAGGCATTCTCAAAAACTTCTGATATTTTCATTTTACACAAGCAGGAGAAAACCAGGGCACACAAGTTTGAAAAGTTGCCCAAAGCTACACAGCTGCCTGGTAGAGTCCGGAGGCTTGAAGTACTAAGTTTTATGGCCCAGCTAAATGACAGTGCTGCTGTGAAGGTAGGGATGACATGCCTAGAGGGAACTCACGCAAAGCCTTCAGATGGAAAGCACAGGTGGGAGGAGAGCACGTGAGTGTGCAGGCAATCATACCTAGTCCTGATGATCTGATGAGAGCTACTGGGCCGCTGAACTGGACACTTAGAGTCCACATGCTATGAGAGACCACTGCTTTGCTACTTCAGCAGGCCCCAGGGAACCACATCTCCCTTGGATTCCTGACTGTATGTGCCTTGAGCTGGGATTGGTGCGATGACATGCTTTATCCAAGAGGATGCAACAGATGCAGCGCTGCTCTAGCTCTAAGTTAAAGCCTAAAGAAGGTCTAGCAGTTCCATTTTTGCACTCTGGAAAAATCCAGAAATCTAATTTCCATGTGAGGGGTCTAACTACTGTCAGACCACCATGCTTGGAAGCCCAAGCTGGCCGCGTGGAGATGATCAATGAGCCCAGGAAGTATCATGGCTGTAGACATAGGCAAGGTGAGGCACTCTAGCCCTAAGCTGCTCAGGCCATCCCAGAAGATTCCACAGAGCTGAGCTGAGCTGAGCTGAACCTAGTGCGTGGAAACTGTCAAACTGCAGAATCACGAGCAAATAATAAAAGTGGTTGCTTTAAATTCGTAAGTTTTTTTTTGGTACTAGGGATTGAACTTGGGTCCTTGCGCTTGTGAGGCAGGCGGCGGGACCACTGAGCTAAATCCCCAGCCCTAAGTTTGTAAGTTTTGGGGTAGTCTCTCATACAACAGGAGATAAGAAAACATGTCAATTTGTTCACTTTTCTGCTTTAGCCAACTCGAGGTGGGCATTTGTGATTTTAACACTAAAGTTCCATGGGATGAAACGTGTCATGACATGTCCCTCAGAGAGCTTTACAGCCCTGTAAGTCTGTACAACAGCATACAGTACCATCATTCTCAGGAAGCATATCAGAAACACTTCCATGCCACAGGTCTTCCTGAATATTCAAGAGCATTCACAGGCTGAGTCATCTGCATCAACAATACTTTCTCACCTAATTCCTATTTGTAGATATACAAATGTGTCTGATTCTGGGTTAGGCAATGAGAACGTAAAGATAAATATGACATAGCCTCTGCCCTTAGGAAGCTGCCAGATTTGCAGATAATTACAGGAACACCAGTGGTAAGACAGCCAATGATAGTAAACATAAAAAAACAAACAAAAGGGTCAGGATTTAATTCAGTGGCACTGAGCCTGCCTCGCAAGCACAAGGTCCTGAGTTCTATCCCAGGTACCGAAAGAAAAACAAAACACACACACACACACACACACACACACACACACACCCCAAAAACCAACCAAACAAAAAAACAACAAAAACTTGAACTGAACCTCAAAGGCTGAGGGGAAGTCAGAGAGACGACTGGAAGTGGGACACGCAGAGAGCACACTGCATGGAATGGAAGAATGCCCTGACGTACTGCTACAGAGAGGAGCTCGAGAGACGTGCAGGGTCCAGCAAGGCACCACTAAGGAGCGCAGATCTTTATCTAAAGGTATTTCTGAAGCATGGGAATGCCAAGGCCAATTCCAGCTCCACGATAGCTTTTTTTTTTTTTTTTTGAGACAGGGTCTTACTCTGTAACACAGGCTGGTCTTGAACTTGCAGTAATTCTCCTGCCTCAGCCTCCTAAATGCTGGGAACACAGGCACGTGCTACCAAGCCCAGCCAGCTCCACAGGAGCTGGATGACTAGGAGAGCTCAAGGATCTGGGGCAGTGGTAGCCAACCTATGGCATTTGTGTTATTTGGTCTTTTTTTCTTTTAAGACCAAAGATGTTAAGTACGAGTTGTTTTTTTCTAAACTAAAATCTCAGTATTCAGGTTTAATTCCAGTCTTAGCACTGTGATAAATAAGTGGGTTTTGGGTTGCAGTATAGGAACTTTCTAAAAGGTTTGCTGTCACTGTATTAGGGGAAGATGAAAATGAGAGTTGGGAACACGTGAAGGTTTTAGCATTAAACCTCTCTGGGCTGCATCCTCAGTCTTGCCTACTACCAGCAACATAGCCATGAATAAATTATTTCATCTCCACAAATCCAGTTTCTTAATCTGCAAAAGTGGCGAGGACACATTCACTCTTACTTGTACCTTGTTAAAAAGATTACAACACTGTCATACTGATTCTAAGATGCATCTTTTTCATGTTTCAACATTTCTCAGGCTGGGATGTCCTTGGAGAAAGGCATGATGGTTTAACTGGGACAGTGTTTCCTTCTTAGTGATCAGATGAAATATGGCACTGGACCTGCTCCCTACGTCATGTACCACTAGGCTTTTCAGTCCCAGAAGGCAGACATTCACATCCTGTGGGTAGGAAGGGACCTTTTCTAAAGAGCTCCGAGTGGAGCTGAGGAAGATCTTCCAGTTTGGCTAGAGAACTCTCCCGGTAGCACACACAGCCTGATAATGATAAGGATGAATCCTCAACTACATCTAAGCCTTTCTTTGTACAGAGAAGGAGATAAAAATAAATCAAGTCACAAGTGATGGCTCATGTTTGTAATTCCTACACTCATGAGGCAGGAGAATGGCAAGTTCAAGGCTGGCTAGGACTACATATAACCACAGAAGATCAAGTAAAATTGTTTGCTCCTTTCTATTAGGACTAACATTCTTGGAGGGAAAGAATTCCAAATATGCAAACACAAACTGAGCAGAGAGTTAGCCAGAGGATACTACCAGGTGGGTTGGGTTGTAAAAAATTCTGAGGTCCGCCCCCCCGCCCCGTGCCTGTACAGGGTCTCACTTTGTAGTGCAGGCTGGTCTTGAGCCCCAGTGATCCTCCTGCCTCAGCCTTCCAAGTGCTGGGATTATAGGTATGTAAGATCACTTTTTTGCCCAGGGAGGCCTTGAAC